TGTGCATAGTATAAGCAGGTGAGGCCTAGGTTGCCAAGTGCATTGTTAGAAGAGAGCTGTGTGTATAGCTCAAACCAAATGGAGTCCCAGGTTACTAAGCTATGCCCTATGCTCATCTGCCTCAGGAAGATCAGGGATCCAAGGTCATCTTTAGCTGCATAGTGAATGTGAGACCAGTCCTAGCCACAAATGATCCTGTCTCAGCAAACTAAACCAACCACCCAAACATACCAGGACAAACACACGTTAGAGAAGGGCTTGGATGGCTCATACCTGTAATTCTAGCTCTTGAGAGGCTGAGGCAGAAGGATCACTTCAAGTTTTAGAACATCCTGGGCTATACAGTGAGTGCCAGACCAGCCTGAGTTATAGTATGACACCCTGTCTCAGAAAAGCCAAACCAAGGAGCTGGAGAGATGGCGCAGTGCTGAAGAGCACTGGCTGCTTTTGCAGAGGATTGGGGTTTGATTCCCAGATGGCTTAAGAACCATCTGTTACTCCAGTTCCAGGGGATTTGACGCTCTCTTCTGACCTCTGCAGGCCTTGCACAACACGGGTGCACTTACATGTGAGTAATACACTCAGACATACAAAATAAAAAATAATAAATAAAATACTGGAAAACAAACAAGCTGGGATCCAAACACCGGTCCTCTGGTAGAGCAGTAAGCTTAAGTGCTCTTAACCACTGAGCCACCTTCCCAGCCTGAGTAATTGTTTTTTGAGCATTACTACAGACTCTGGAAATTAAATGGAGCATAGGTTCCTCCCTCATAGAGTTTACAATCTAAAAGGAAATGGAAAAAATAGAAAAACAAACCAGAAAACAGATAAAGCAAGTGTTTGATTTCAAAGGGAGGGAGGAGGAAAAATGTAAACAGGAGGTTTCTTTGTTCTTTTGAGAGAGGGTCTAATAAACTCACGATAGCCTCAAACTCTTATAGCTGAGAGTCCCTTGAACTCCTGATCCTCTTACTTCCACATCCTGAGTGCTGGTAGCGTTTGCCATCATACCTGGTGTCCTTTTCTCCTTAATTTTATTGAGCCAGGTGTGGTAGCCCACACCTTTTATCCCAACGTTTCAGAGACAGAGGCAGATAGATCTCTGTGAGATCAAGGCCAGTGTGGTCTGCATAGCAAGTTCTAGACCAACTGGGGCTACATAAGGAGATCCTGTCTAAAACAAAACAAATAGTTTAATTCTAGATTTATTTTTTGTCTGTTTGTGGGCGAGCATACTTGTGGAGATCAGAGGACAACTTTTGGGAGTCAGTTTCTTCTATAATGAGTAGGTCTGGAAGATTAAATCCAGTCATTAAGCTGAGCGGTACTTGTTGAGGCATCTCATTGGCTGTCTCCCCAAGCCACTTTAAAAAATTTTAATTAAGGCCGGGTGTGGTGGCGCACGCCTTTAATCCCAGCACTTGGGAGGCAGAGGCAGGCGGATCTTTGTGAGTTTGAGGCCAGCCTGGTCTACATAGTGAGTTCCAGGACAGCTGGGGCTACAAGGAGACCCTGTCTCAAAAAGACAAAAACATTTTTAATTAAAAAAAATTTTAAGCAGGGTCTCATGTAGCCCATGCTGGCCTCAAACTGGATATGTAGCCAAGGATGACCTTGAACTCCTGATGTTCCTGTTTCACTTAGTAATTTTTCCATATAGAGATCTGATTGAGACTGAGCAATATTTGCGATAAAACTATTTAGGATCAGAAAACATAACGAGGGGAGAGCAATGAAATATAAATAATTATTTGATAAGGTTTGCCCACTTAAGCAAACTATTATCTGGAGAAGGGGGGCTATTTGTGCAGTCCATTATTCCGGTAAATTGATTTTCAGGAAGTTCCTGAAGCAAATAATGAAGTTATTTACTGGTTTTCAGTGTTATCTTTCTAGAACAATTGTCATATGGGGGTAAGCAGGTAGCCTCAGACACAGTGAAACACTGCTAGTTTAGCTGAGTGAGGCTGTGGCCTGGATGGGAAGGGTGAAGACTGAGAAATGGATGGATTAGGATATATTTTTGGAGATAGACCAATGAGACTCGCTAACTTGAGTAGCTGGAAAGAAGGAATCAAGAATGTTGGTTAGGTTTTTACCCTGAGTCACTGGATGAGTGGATGAGTGGAAGTACCATTAGTTGACATGTAAAAGAAGAAACGGGCTTGGGGTGGTGGTTAAGGATTCAATTTTGCTTTTGTTTTTTAAAAAATATTTTATTTAGCCAGGCGTGGCGGTGCATGCCTTTAATCCCAGCACTCAGGAGGCAGAGGCAGGCAGATCTTTGTGAGTTCAAGGCCAGCCTGGTCTCCATAGTGAGTTCCAGGCCAGCTGGGGCTACAGGGAGACGCTGTCTCAAAAAGACCAAAAAAATGTTTTTTAATTTATTATTTTTATTTTATGTGTATGAGTATATTGCCTGCATGTATATGAATGCACCAGTGTCATGTAATGCTGCAGAGGTCAGAAGAGGGCATCAAATTCCCCTGGAACTGGAGTTAAGGATGGTTCTTAGGCGCCATGTGGGTGCTGGGAATTGAACCTGGGTCCTCTGCAAGAGCAATCAGTTCTCTTAACCGCTGAGCCATCCATCTCTCCAGCCCCAAGGATTCAATTTTGAACATGCTGAATTTAGGTCAAATATGTAGTTGGATACATGATGTCAAGAGCAGTGAATGTCTTGGAGATTTTAAAATGTTTTATTTCTCTCTCTCTCTCTCTCTCTCTCTCTCTCTCTCTCTCTCCAAATGCCATAGTGTGAGTGTAGAGGTCAGATGACAACCTTTGGGAGTCAGTTCCCTCATTCCACCATGAGATCCTGAGATTGAACTCAGGTTATCAGGCTCCTCTACCCACTAAGCCATCTCAAACCCAGTCTTAGAAATTTAAATAAAAAACTGTGTGAACTGTCTGGCCAAGTGGAAGGAGTCTGTAATTCTAGCTATTTTCGAGGCTGAGACAAGAGGATCACAAGTTCAGGGTCTGCCAAGGCTACAGAGTGATTTCAAGATCAGCCTGGGTAACAGTGCCACCCTGTCTCAATTTTAATTAAAAAAAAAAAAAAGGAGGGACTGGGTCTATGATAGTACTCAGGGTAGGGTACTTGTGCTCCCCTACCATATGAAAGCCCCTAAGTAGTTCAGTCACCAGTGGGGAAGAAGGGAAAGAGAGTTTTATTAATCTTTAGTACATGGTACTTAACATTATGAAAATAGTTAAAATCTTGGGGCTGGAGAGATGGTTCGGTGGTTAAGAACACTGGCTGCTCTTGCAGAAGACTGGGGTTCAAATCCCAGTACCACATGACAGCTAACAACTGTCTGTAACTCCAATTCCAGGGGATCTGATGTCTCTTCTGTTCTCTGTGGGCACTGCAAAACACGGGTGCAGTTACATACATGCAGGTAATACATACACATAAGAAAAAATAAAAATAGTAAAATATTTTTAAAAATCTTATCCTATTGGGCTGGAGATGTAGCTCAGTTGGAAGAATGATAAAAGAATTTATTAAGGACCTGCTCTTTGCCAAGTCCTGTCTAGGCACAAGGAATCTAACCATGAACTAGAGGCATATTCCTGTCCTGTGAAGTTTACAGTCCACTGGGAGAAATAGGGAAATGTATTTACAGTTGTGGGGTTCCTGGAACCCATAGATGGAGCACTTGACCCTGATTCAACCACCAAGAAAGGATGCCAAAGAACTGATACTAGACTGAGACCCAAAGGATGGATAAAAGGAATTCCTAGAAGCTGGTAGTGCTGGCATACGCCTTTAATCCCAGCACTGGGGAGGCAGAGGCAGGCGGATTTCTGTGAGTTCAAGGCCAGCCTGGTCTACAAAGTGAGTTCCAGGCCAGCTGGGGCTACAGGAGACCCTGTCTCAAAAAGACCCTCCCACCCCCGGAAAAAAAGGAATTCCTAGGCCACGCAATGAGGAATGATGAAATACAAGTCCTTAGAAGGCTTTGCCAGGTGCCACCACTGTGGTCAAGGGCTTATTTACAGTTCCACAGTTATTACTCCTTCAACTTGCCTGACTCTCACAGGTCCCTCTTAAGACCCACTTCAGATGGGGACCTCCCCAAGAAGACTCTGATTTCATTCCTCATCTAGTGTTTTTGGTGGGCCCTCTGCCTTGCCCTGTCTGAGCACTCTACCATTTACTGGAATTGTTGTTCATCCATTCCTTCACAAAACAGGAATCCAGGAAGGGCAGCCAGTCTCATTCAACCTGGTGGTCCCTGGCAGGGTCAGGTATTCTGTAGATATTTAACAAACAGGGTGAATGAAGGGAATCCATTCCCCACAGATGATTCTTTCTAAACAGGGCAGGAGAAAATAAAGGACTTGACTGAGAGATACTGAAAAGGACAAAACTAGGGAATGATCAGAGACATTAGGAGGCTGTCTATCTTCCATGAGATCAGACCAGATTGTGACCCTCCGGCCTTAGCTTTCCCAGTACTGGTATTATAGGCTTAAATGCCCAGATTTAAGGGCGGTTTTAAAAAACTCAATCTAAAAGCTCCTTCAGTCTCAGCACTAGGGAGAAGTTTCAGATCAGTCAGGACTACCCTTCTCAAAACAACAGCAACAACAACAATAACAACAACAAAGCTGCCCAATCCAGGGTCCGATGGGGAGACTGGGAAATGTATACATAACTTCTTAGGAGTTAAGATTCCCCGCGGCGACTCTAACCCCCGAGCAGAGGGAGTGGCAGAATCCATTTTCTCTCTCCAGTTCTCTCTACCCGGTCACTGCATGTCCACCCGCCTCCTCGCCGGAGAACCTCAGCTGTCCCTTTCTGGGCACAGGTTTCCAGCTGTTGAGGCCTGGACGGACCAGTGCAGGGAGGAGGAGGAGGAAACTCTCTGTCCCTCCCTCTTTCTCCATCTCCCCACCCTCCCTCCTCCCCCGCCCGCTCTAGTCCTCCCTCCTTCCCTCCCTTCCTCCCTCCCTCTTTCTCCTCCGAGGCTGTCGAGCCTCTCCGTAGAAGCGAGCTGCGAGCGCCCTGCTCCAGTCCGGCTGGGAACTGAAGTGCGCGAGCGCCGGTCCCGGAACCCCGACCTCCGGGGCGGCCTGAGGGGTCCGAGGTCCGGGCGCCGCTCAGCCTCGGAGGCCCTGGCTCTGGACCGAGCCGGCTGGAGAGCGAGCCGAGGCACGGAGCGCACAATCAGCCACCCTGCTGGCCCGGCGCTGCGCCCGGGAGTCCGGAGTGGGGCCGCGGAAGGCAGCGAGACGCCGAGCCGGGGGCAGAGGGCAGAGTGCGCAGCGGCCTGGCTCCTCGGAGCGCGCCGCCCGGCCCGGCCCGGCCCCAGCTTAGTGGGCAGCGCTGGGCAGCCGGCAGCAGGTCCAGAGCTCCTCCGGCCCTCGGCGGGGGGCGTGCCTCCGTCCCGCTGCGCGGTCCGGGCCCGCTGCCCACCGCGCCTCCCGGGCATGTGAGCTGGAAGGCCAGCCTGCCGTCTACCCGGACGCACCGAGCAGGAGCGGGAGCGCGGAGCGGCGACCCCGGGCCAGCGCCTGGCCGAACAGTAAGTGCGCCCCTTCGCGCCGCGCGCCCCTCTACCCAGCCTCGCCAAGTTTGACACACGCGCCCCCTCGTTTCTGGGGCCACGCCGGATCTCTTCCGCGCGAGTTTCCATCTTGGGCAAAGTTTTGCCAGGCGGAGCCGAACCTCCCGGACTCCTCACAGCGCCGGCCAGTGGCGTGGCGCGGACCCGGGTACTTTAGGAGCGCGGTGGCAGCAGAGCGTGGCGGGTGGCGGGTGGCGGGCGCGCGCCGCGCGAGCCGGGCTTCTGGGTCTCCAACCCGCGCGCCCTGGCCGACTGGCTGGGCTCTAGGTCTTAATCATCTGCCTGACCACGCGCCCAGTTTAAGGCTTCCTAGCCCGGAGCCGAGGCGAAGTGTGCGTGCCCCGCGTGGGGCTAGTGTGCCTGCGACACAGAGCTCCCGTGCGTGGGCCGCCAGGGTCCATCGCGCAGCCTTCCCACGGCTCCAGGTTCGTTCCCAGCGGTATACCCGGGCGCCGCCTCTCGTTTTTCTGCTGTAGCTGCTCCTGTCCACCCCCACTTCGCATCGTGGGGTGTCGGAGGAGCGCCATTCACCCGGGTTTCACCGCGGAAACCAAATTGCACCCAGGGCTGTTGGGATGCAGAGGAGGTGGTCGCTCGGTCCCGGAGGCTCGCCATTGTTTTCCCACCCGCGCGTTCTTTACGTAAACACACGCGAGGTGTGTGTGTGGTGTGTGTGTGTGTGTGTGTGTGTGTGTGTGTGTGTGTGTGTGTGTGTGTGCACGCCGGCTGCGGCTGCTGTTTACCCGGGCGCGCTAGGGTCCCCGGCGGGATGTCCCCGCGGCCAGCCTGATGTCCCGGCAGGAGGTGCCCCGGGCTGGGGGTGAGGGACACGAGAGTGGGGGTTGCCGAAGAGTCCTTGGCGGGGTTCCGAGTCTAGCCTGGGCTGCCTGTGAATTTTGAACTTAAGTCTCAGACCTTTCCAGGAGGACCCTCGGGCGCTCAAGCGGTGGCTCCCGCAGGGGAGGGCCCACGGCAGCTGCGAGGACTCCGCTGGTGATCTTGGCAGCCGCCTCCATGACTAGGGCTAGGAGGAAGCCGAGGAGTTTTCCTGGGAAGTTTGCTTTAGCTCTGTGGGAATTTCCGGGCAGGGCGCCTTGGCGCTGGCGCTGGTGCTGGTGTCTGGCCTAGGATAGCCATCCGAGATGCTGCTACTCTGGGTGCGGTTTACAGAGACCAGTTTCCGAGGTAGTTACTGCCTTTGGAAATACCTCTGTAGATACTGGGATTCCACGCTTGGGTTCTTATTCCTCACCAGGACAGGCAGCTTGACTTCGGCGACTTTCTCCTATGGAAAAGGGTGGATTTATACACCCATCCTTGAAACTAGTGTATGTTGGTTGTTCGAAGGATATTGGTTAGGAAAGCTTGAACTCTTTGAACCACTGAGAATTAGATAGCCTAGTGTTAAGGGAGCTGAAGTTGGAGCCAGTGCAGCCACTGCTAGTGCTACTACCATGGGCAATTTAACCCAGCCCCTTGCTCAATAAAATGAGGTTAAATCCGGAGGATACTCACCTCATGGGGTGGTCCGAAGGATGAAAAAACTTAATACATTGAAACTCAGAACTTAAGTGCATATCACATAGTAAGTGCTAGGTAACTGTTTAGTTGTTGAGGTGGGGTGTAGCTTAGTAGTAGAGCACTTGCCTAACCTGCTGGATGTCCTGGGTTCGATCCCCAGTACTGAAAAGAAAAAAGTTAGTTGTCATTAAAATTGTTATGTTACCATGGAACCCAGGGCTTAGTTCATGCTAGGGAAGTATTCTACCACTCAGCTGCATCTCCTACCTGTATCATTATAATTTAAGTGACCTGTACACAGCCCAGAGAACTCTTGAGGATTGTACCCACTTTTAGTAGTTTTTCATTTCTGGAGAAAAAGACTTAACACTCCCTTCCCATCTTGATTCTGACTCCTCAGATTCAATTTACCTTCTTTTTAAAAAAAAATTATTATTTTTAATTTATATGTATGAGTGCAATGCCCATGGAGTTCAGAAGAAGGCGTTGGATTCCGGATGGTTGTTAGCCACCATGTGGGTGCTGGGAATTGAACCCAGGTCCCTTTGCAAGAGCAGCCCGTGCTGTTAATCGCTGAGCCATCTCTCCAGTCCCAGTCACTTTACTTTCTTGCTCCTCATCTAGTTCCATTTTCTTGAGTCTTTTTATTTCCTTCTTTCCTCTTTCTCTCTGAAGTTTTTGTTTAAGGCATTTCATTACCCCCTTTCCTTATTCTTTTTAAAATATTTTATTCATTTTTATGTATATGAGTGTATTGTCTGCATGTATGTAAGTGCACCCATGTTGTACAATGCCTGAGGAGGTCAGAAGAAAGTGTCGACTTCCTCTGGAACTGGAGTTATGGATGGTTATTAGCCACCATGTGGATTCTGGAAATCTAATCTGGGTCCTCTGCAAGAGCAGTCCGTGCTCTTAACCACTGAATCCTCTCTCCAGACCCAAAAGTTTTTTTGTATATGAGTGTTTTGCTTGCATGTTATGTATGTGCACCACATGCATGAAATGCCCACAGGGGCCAGAATAGAGAGCATTGGATCCCCTGGAACTGGAGTTAAGGACAGGTGTTAGCCACCATGTGGGTGCTATGGGACAGAACCTAGATCCTTGGGTCCTCTTTAGGAGCTATAAGTGCTCTTAACCACTGAGCCAACTCTCCAGCCCCTCCTTTCCTCATTCTTAAAAATTAAGAATTAAGAATAAAAAATTAAGAATGTTTCCAGGGAAAGAACACTCTTGGCATCATGGAGTGTTCTTTCCCTGGAAAAAGCCCCAGGATAGGGAAGTATCTTCAAAAGGATCTCCCTTGGGCACCCTGTTGGCTCATGATTGGATGTGCATTTATGACTCTGGGACTGAGTGAATTTCCAGAGAGAGGATCCCAGGTGTCTGGGAAATCAGATGGGATAGGCAGACTGTCCCTGGAGGATTCTGCTCCTTGGGTGGTGTTTGTTTCCTGTTACAGGGCTCATTTGGGAACCCTTACTACACTGGCTGTCAGGGCACATTGCATCTGAGACTTAGATAATTTTCTGCTGGAGGTTGGAGGGTTTTCTGGGAGTGTAGGGTAGGCACAAGTTTCTGTCTCATCTGATTGCTGCATAGCACAGAGAGGGAGAGCCAGGGGCAGCTGCCCAGCCCCCTGCCTTGCATACTAGGCCCCTTTCCTTCTTCCTTGACCCTCTGACCCTCACTAGGCATGCGGGGGAGGGTGGCCAGAGTGTTGATGCTTGGTGCTGGGAAGTCCTGCATGTAGGCAGTTTGCAGATGAGAACCAGTGCCAGAGAGAAGACATCGCTTCATTCCTTTAACAGAAACTTATTAAAGGAATGTGTCTGTTACTTGCCAGCCCTTGTGCTAGGCCGTGTGATGATAGGTGGACAGACTGGTGACTTGCCTACCTTTAGAGAGGCTGCTTTCTAATGAGGGGGCTGGGAGATAATACCACACCATGAGACATACCCCAGATGGGAGGTACAGCATATGAGGGAGGAGGATTGGAAGGTCAGTGAAGGCTGTCCTGAGGAGGACTCACATAGGCCTGAAGACTGAAAGAGCCAGCTGCATACAGCTGGGAGGAGGGGCATTCCAGGCTGAGGAGCCCACAAATGTCCCCCCACCAAATCCTTCACCCCCTAGGTCAGAGCCAATAACACAGTCCTATGGCTGGAGAGGAGAGCATAGAGCCTGGGCTGTGGCATCTAATGGGATTGGTTAGGAGCCTGTGTTTATTTGTCAGGGCCACAGGAGAACAGAGTGATCGATTTATGATTTTATTTTTTTTATTTTTAAAAGCTGAAAACTTTAAAAAAATTTTATTCATTATTTTTGTGTGTATGCATGTATTGTCTGCATGTAGGCAAGTGCACCTGTGTCGTGCAATGCCCACGGAGGACAGAAGAGGCTGTCCGATTCCCTGGGACTGGAGTTACTGACAGTTATTAGCTGCCATGTAGGTGCTGGGATTCAAACCCAGGTATTCCGCAAGACCAACCAGTGTTCTTAACCACTGAGCCTCTCTTCAGCCCCCAGTTTAAGATTTTAAAAGATGATTTGATACATGGGAAACTATTCCTCATTGCCCTAGGGGAGGGACATGGTGACTGAAGGAGGAAGGATTGTTTTTGCTTTATTTTGTCCTTTGTAAATTTAGTACATGTGCACACATATAAACCACACCAAAAACTCCAAAATGCATTAAACAGAACAGTTTAAACCCTGGAAAGTGTCATAAGAAATGAAAAAAATATATATATATGTATATGCACACACACTACATAGTACAGTTTATGGTAAAGATGTGTACCTGTGTCTCTCACACATACACACATGGGGCAGCGGGAGGAGGGAGGAAGAAAAAAGAAGTTAGAGGGATGCATTGGAATGTTCAGAGGTTGATGAAGGATGCTGGACACAGGGATCATTTTTAAGTTAAAATTTTTTTTCAAATTACATTTGTTGTGTGTGCACATGGCTGCGGTGGGGGTAGGGGTCAGGGGCATGTGCACCACAGCATGAGTGCGGAAGCCAAAGGCTAACTTTTGGAGTCAGTTCTCTCCACCTGGCGTGGGGTGGGGAGAGGAAGAGAACTCGGGTTGTCAGGCTTGGCCAGCACCTTTATCTGCTGAGCCATCTCACCAGTTTAAGGGATGATTTTTTACTTCCTGTTTCATCTTCAGTTGATTTTTCCAGGCATCTACAGTGGTTATAAATTACTTAAAACTTTTTTTAATCGCATTTATCTATTTATTTATTTTGTGTGTGTGGTAGTGTGGAAGTCAAAGGACAACTTTTGGGAGTCAGTTCTGTCCTTCCACCATGCGTACCCCAAGGAACGAACCAGGCTGTCAGGCTTGGCAGCACTGCTCCTTTACTTACTGAGCCATCTCATTGGCCCAGGAATTATTTTTATAAGTGAAAAAAAATGTGTTGTGAAAAAG